TACTAGTATAATAATCTACATCATGTGCTCACTTAGGGTGCATAAAAGGGAGCAACTAAATTTGTGTCCAGCTGAGAGGACATGCAAATTGGTCTTTTTGATGTCTATAAGCCAACTATCGGAATATGATCAATAGTGACACGAAAGAGATTAGAATTTATGAATAGTGGCATTGACGGGATTTAAGTTTTTTAGGTGGCTGATTCGGGATTGGCATTGGCATTGACGGGGAGTCTCTGAGTAGTCACTGCGACTGGGGTTGCTGTAGAAGGACCGGCGGTATGCATATGAGGCAGTGTAGGCATGCCGGTCAGCTCACTGAAAGATGCTCCAAGACTCACAGAGGCCCGGCGTGTCGAGGCAAAAAAGCGAGGTGAAGCCCGTGTGGTATGGAGAAGTGCGGTGATATGGAGCTGCAGGGGCAATCACCGGTGAGGACAACCTTTGGGACACCTAAAAGCATGGGTGAGGCAAAAGCCAAAGGCTAGAGGCTATCACGACTACTGAAGCCCTTTGGGCTGTATATAGCTGGAGTCATCAGTGGTGGCCGTGTGAGCAAGGTGGGGCGAAGGCTGTGGCGGTGGGGCCCCAAGTCTTTGTCACTACATCTTTGCATAAAGCCCATAAGCTCTCTTTGCATGAGTGTCTGCTTGATGCATCACACTCTTTCTTTGTTATTCTTTGGAGAAAAGCTGCTGCTTTGCCTCTGGAACTAAATCTGACAAGCCTAGAAGCTGTTGCGAAGTTGGCGGTCTCCGGTCTCTGTACTGTCATGCTGATCTCTGCTGCATCCGCTCAAGAATGGCAATCAATGCGGGAGGTCCGTCTGCGATCTTTGGTGGGTATTTGTGGAACTACCGACCTCTGCATCATGTCTGCGTGGAGAGCATCGAGGAATCGGCGGATAGTCATCATCCGAACTATCTTTGGACTCGGTCATCTCTTTGTGCCTCAAAATTTGCTCTCTCCTCGATTGGCGGCAATGCCTCTAATGATCTTGTCTCTTTGGTATTGACTCTGGAATTTACGGACGACAGCCAGGATGGTGGTGCACTGTGGAGTGTTATGCACGATCCTCTGTGCCATGTTATATGCAGAGGAAACTCTGTGGTGGCAGCCACATACTCTGCAACCAACTCGAGGGGTCTGGCGTGCACACTGCTTGTAGCATCAAGAATGTGACCCAATGTGCATAAGGAAGCTGTCGGCAACCCTTGAAGCCCTCAACAATAGTATCCTCCATCTCTACGATAGAAGGAGGTCCCAAATCGAACTCGAACATAGTGCTTTGCATCGGGGCATTAAGGAGCAGGAAGCATGGCGAGTGAGACCCTCCCATGTCCCAACCTAGGAGGCAGTGTCCTCCTCGATAATGGCCTCTAACACTCACACCTTTGTAGAGTCGAGGTCACTAGGGTTCTGCTCGACCCCTCACTAAAGGGCTCCTTGAAGCAATGTCGCACCTGGATCTATAGGGGCACCAACCCTCCATGAGGGCCGCTGGGAGGCTCCTGCTGTCCATAACATACCTCATGCAATTTGATAGGCTGATCCTGTAGTCTCGTATATCTCCGGGCCTTGAAGCTCATCACCTTGTAATCTCTGCCGTTGAATGCAAAGTGAATGAAGTTGTGATCGGATCAACGTAGAGTGAAAGCATAAGCAAAGCTGGGACCCAAGATGATACATATACTCTGTCCGGCCAATCAGATCTGAGAGCCGGCAAATATGACAAGTAAGGCGGATGTGCTCTCTAGTTGCTTTGCCACAATAGACTCAAACTACTGAGACTCTACGAGATCTGAACATTGCCCCCCTTGTTGGATATGCATTATAGAAAGTCATACGGAGGCGGGCGTGTAGAACCCTCTCTTGCTCTCTCATCCCTCCTCGGAGGAAACCACACATCGAACTCAACAAATCTCAAGCTGGCGAACTTTATGCAGGTGTGGCGGCCCTCAAGTCGAGGTGTGTACCAGGGCGGACCCTATAGTGCAGGCGATGGGCGTGAACCCTATTTGTGTGGCTGGCCTCGGTGGGCTCATGAAATGATGCGACCAGTGGCGTGGGCTGGGGTGCGGCTCGGTCTCCTCGGCATCTTGGCCCTCCCAGTGTCTGGTGGGTGGAGGCTCTGCTGGTGGGGGCTGCTCTCTGTGGCTCTCTTGAGACTCCCCGACTCTGAGGCTCCTCAATAGCAAGGCGGCGTCTGTCATCATGTGATCCAGGGTGGACTACCATGAAGTCGCTCAATCTCCCTCGGTCTCATCTGTCGTCTGGTGCCGGTGATCTGCTATGACAACTCCCATGTGGCACCGCCTCTCTCGACAAGCTCTGCGGCCTCTGCAACAAGCTACTTTGCTCTCCTTGTCTCTATGTCAAGGTACTTGCGCTTCTTGGATGTCACTTGCTTTGTTGCCTTGCCTTTCGGTCCCTCTGAGGGCTTGCTTGGGCGGGGCCTCGGTCATCATCACCGAACCACCACCAGCGTTCTTGGTGCGAGCCATCGATCGACAAGAGGATGAACTACGTGATGAAGATCAGCTGTCATCAAGCCCGACACTCTCGAGGCTTGGCCTCGATCCTTACTCATGACTTGGCTCGGGTTGGTATAGCCAATCGCCACAAGAACCTCAACGGCACCGACTCATTTGCCACGATAGAATAGATGGATATCTGAATAAATCGATATATCTAATAGATCACGAAAACCTAGGAAGCAAGCAATGTAGGTACGAAATTGAGGAATGACGGCGGGCAAGCTACGGCGATCAGCGATCGAGAAAAGAAAAAGGCGTCGTGGCGGGGGAACCTCGGAACCGACTAGGGTAGATCGAAAGCCCTGAATGATTTGAAATCAGTGTACTGCAATTTGATCTAGGTCACAATTGAAAGGATCAAGATTGAAACATAGGTGCAGCCTTACCAATCAAGGAGGTAGGGTGAGGACTTGAATGGCGCTTGTTAAAGCAGCACAATATTTGGAGGCGATGGACCCACAGGATTGACTCAAGCCAAGGCGACCCATAAGAGGCGGCATGTGGCGTGGAAGCGGTGGAAGCTTGGGGGCGAGGCGTCTTGTGGCGTCTTGGCGCGCAAGAAGTGCTCGATGGCAGTGGCGTGGCGCGGTGAATGAAACTTGCAGAGGCGGCGGCAGCGCAGGCTTGGCGAGATGCGGTGGCCGGTGGCTATCCGTTGGCGTCTGGCGTTAGGTCAGAAAAAACGCAAGAACTGCGGTTTAAATGAGGACCCCTAACGTGACAAGAAAGAAGCGAAAAAAGTCACGAAGCCGCCGGGATCCAGCGACCGGGCGCTCCGGTGGTAGCACGGGGCGCTACCACCAGCGTCCGTCGATTCGAGAGGTCAATTCCTCTGGAGGTAGGGGGACGAACCGGGACGTCCGGTGGTCCATGTCAGACCTTGACGAGGTCGGTCGGTCTGACTATTCTTCCTTCAATCGGCCGGACAGCTAGATCCCTTCGACGGACCGGACAAGAAAGCGCGGCGTCGGTCACTCCTTCACTGGCCATTCACCTCAGCTGTGGCGGCCGAGACTGGACAGACAGCGTCCGGTGCCTGCCCTAGCAAATCTTCAAAGTTCCTTGGCATGCATTTCCCAATCAAGTCCTAACTTGAATAAGATCTAAATAAACACCAATTGGGACTGATGTGGTGACCTCTCTCAAACCCTCATATTTTTCAAAATATATTTGCCTTAAGCTATAATTTTTTTTAAGAAAATAGGCAATAAGAGGGCAAATGGAACAAAGCGACAAACCAACATTCATGCATATGCAATACTTGTAAGTAAATCTAGTTGCTTGTCAAGTTTGATCCAAGGTTAAGCTTCTTCACATGCTTTTGGAGCGGTTATCTTAACCATGTTAGACAAAGCCCCATATGCATTGCAAAAATTAAACATGTTGTATATTACAATGAATGCAAGGGACAACACAAGCTCAATTTTTTAGTGAAGTTGCTAAAGTCAAGTACATTGAGCTCATTCCGCAATCTATAAAATGTAGCCTCATCTAGCGGTTTAGTGAAGATATCCGCTAATTGATCTTCGGTTCTTACACCTTCTAGTGATATATCATTTTTAGCAACATGATCTCTTAGAAAGTGATGGCGGATATCTATGTGCTTGGTGCGAAAGTGTTGAACCGGATTATTTACAAGTTTTACCGCACTTTCATTGTCGCACAAAAGAGGTACCTTTTCTAGAACTACACCATAGTCTAGCAAAGTTTATTTCATGTATAAAATTTGTGCACAACAAGCACCCATGCAATGTATTCCGCTTTGGTGGTGGACAAAGCCACACTATTTTGTTTCTTGGAGGACCAAGACACAAGTGATCTACCAAGCAAATGGCACCCTCCGGATGTGCTCTTTCTATCCACTTTGCATCCGGCATAATCCGAATCGAAATAACCAACTAACTTAAATATAGCTCCTTTGGGATACCATGTCTGATAGTGCCGTGCCGTGTAGTGCTAGTGCCGTGTAGTGCCAGTGCCGTGCGTTTGAAAAACTATAGGCCTAGGCAACTACGTACTATGCTGGCATCATTCCTGCTTGCTTGCCAACAGGGGAAAATACAGATTCGAGGTCATGATTAGGAGCTGGGGAAAGAGGGGGAGGGTGAAAAGTTGCTGCATGTTTATAATTACCACGGTGATGTGCTCGCTGAGACACTGACAGCCGGATTACTTGCAGCTTAAAGCATGATTTTGTACGATCTGAGGTGCGTTCGGACACGACTTCAGATCCTGCAGAACGGAGACGGAGACGGAGACGGAGACGGAGTCGTGAACTCCTGATCCAGCCTTTGATTCCGATTCCAAGACGTCATGATCGAGCACCGTACGTATATCCCGCCCATAAATAGGACACGTACGGGAAGTTAAGGTCGGTGGAATCAATCATTCAAGACGCCCGGCCGCAGAGGAGCGAGCGGCGCCGTGGACAGACACAGAGATCTCTCGATCGAATCCATCTCGATGGAACAGCATGACGACGAGCAGCAGGACCTGGCGGCAGTGCCAATGCCAACAGCAATAACGCTGATCCCCGACGACGTTCTCGCCGATGTGTTCCGCCGCGCCTCGCCGCGTGGGCTCGCCGCGTGCCGCTGCGTGTGCAGGGCATGGCGCGCGCTCATCGACGACCTTCGGCTGCTCCGCGCCGACCTCCTCCCGCTGTCGCTGGCCGCCCTCCTGCTCTGCCTCAACGTGGAGTGGGACCGCCCGGAGCTGTTCGCACGCCCCGGCGCTGACGTCACCGGCTACCTGATGCCCCGCCGTACCACCGGGATCGACGACCACTGCAACGGCCTCATCCTGATCAACCACGACGTGCTCAACCCGGCCACGGGCCGGGTCGTGCGTCTGCCCAAAGTGCCCCCGTCTCCGCTCTGGGGGATCCACACTTTTCTTCCAAGACCGCTATCTCGCCTTCGATCCCGCGGAGTCACCGCACTACCAGGTGTTCTGCATCCCCATGCTGCTTACTCGCAATCGCAAGGAGGAGCCTGCGTACAGGGCCATCTCGCAGTGTGAATGGCCACCGTCGCCGTTCTTCCTCAGCGTCTTCTCGTCGATGACGGGGCGGTGGGAGGCGAGGTCGTTGGTCCGACAAGGTGGAGCCGCAGGAAGGGTCGACGACATGGATGTCCAACTGTCATATGAACATGCGCACTCAGCGTGCTGGAGGGGTGCACTCTACGTGCATTGCCAAAACTATTTTGTACTGAGGATATCATTGTCAGAGCATACGACGACGTACCAGGTGATCAAGCCACCAAAAGAGCTGGAAGACAAAGAATGCAGTGGCGGTCGTCTAGGGAGGTCGGAGAAGGGAGTTTACTTTGCATGCTTTGATCGCGAATCGCACCTTTGCGTTTGGATCCTCCATGACGACTCCTCCGCGTGTGGTCACATGGAATGGATACTGAGACATCGAAGTGCTTATGGACTAGCCCTGCCGAGCTCACCAAGATCGTCCTGGACCTTACACAATGCTTTCCGATCTGAAGATGGCAACGCCGACGCACAAGAATGGGATTCTGATGACGATGATGGTGAAGAAAGTACTCTCCACGCCGAATCGGAAGATAGGATACAAGAGCGGCTTGTTGATTGTGAAATACTTGCGCTCCATCCTTACAGAGAGATTGTTTTCATGTTCACGGAGGCACAGTCCAGAGAAGTGACGTACGCGTACCATTTGAAGAGCTCTAAACTTGACAATTTGGGTAACCTGTTCCCAAAAGACGGCACACCTACTCCTGGCTGTTTTACCTTGGTGGAAAACGCTTTCCCGTACACACCTTGTTGGATCGGAGCGCCCTAGGAAATTTCAATAACTTTTTTTTTGTCATATTTGACTTTGTATGTACGGTCTTGGATGCATATTTTTCACCAGTAATTTGGACAAGATTGGGAAGACGTTAAGCCATGAAATCATACTCGAGAGGTTCGCGGATGGCTAGGAGAATATTAAAATCACTATCCGGTCTTCGGGGCGGGCAAGTAAAACTCCCGCTAGAGAGCAAAAAGGAGATGTTATTGCTATTGTCCGGGGCATTAAACAACAAGGCTGATTTCTCCAATAGGCCTAGTTAAGGTGGATTCAAGACCTGACCCCTGAGGCAATCAGAGGTTAGAGCTTGGAAGGCTAACAAAATCAAGAATTCCAGCAAGGAAATGTAATTACAATCAACTTTTGACCAACTTATAAACAAGTACAGCAAGCAATAGACGGATTCGGTAAATCCGCCAATAAGAAAAGAAGTCCAGTCACCTCTGAAGCAAGTTTAATTATGTACACAAAGAGAAGGAGGTTGCTGCTGCTGCTGCTATGGAGGTCATCTAGTAAACATCACAGCTATGGTGTCCTTCGGGCTTGACCAAAGATACAATGACGCAAGCTACAGCATGCTCGCTGTAAGAAAATCAAGCAGGATGCCTAGAGCTGCTTGAAAGACAACCGATATAGACATATCACCCTTAGAACAGTACGGGCGATTTATATATCGTGCCTTAGACAGAAAAAAAAAGCCAATGAACTAGACATCACAGCTATGGTTGTCATGTGTTATTAAACTTGCATATGGTTTACTTAAAAGTAGACGGATATGTTGACAACCAAAATATGACTGGTAAGTTGAAGATAGATTGGAAAACATGTGCATACAAGAAAACAACAAAAATCATCAAATTTGGATGAAATTGGGAAAAATTGCAAACTTTCATAAAAAACCTGGATGGACCAGTTTTGGAAGGGTTCCGTAGCGGTCAGTAAAAATCAGCCTAGGCCGGTTCTAGAAACTAGTGTAAGCTGGTTTTTGGCGGTGTGAGCCCCCAATTGTGTGTTTTTTCCTTAAGTAAACTCATCCGATCTCATGGGAAACTTGTAAAGTGTTACGTGTGAAATAAATTTCCTACTGTGATGAGACCACCACCCTCAATTTATATAAAGAAATTTTTTACAATAATTGGGGAAAAATTCGATGGCTGACATCGACCGAGAGCGGCCAATCCGGCGGCAACAAAGGTAGGAGGCAGCAGGAGGCAATGGGATGGAGGCAGCGGGAGGCGATTCTTTGTGTCTATGATCGGTGGGCCATATGCTAAAAATCGTCTTCCATTGCCTCCATAAATGTGGGGATTATGGTAGGCGGTAATTCCATTCTCGTAGTTTTTTTTTTTTGATAAAGGATAAAATGGTAACTCTATAAATGCAAGTACTAATAGTTTTTTTTTTTCGTCATCCGCTCGGGAAGGTAACACGAGCAAGATAGCCTCAATTTGGCGATTACCCGACCATAACGTCATGGGAGAAGCACTTTGTAGAGGTAAACTTGGGATGGAAAGATTGTCAACCTTGTTGATGGGCTTTGAATTGCGGTGTTCAACATGTACTTTGTTTCGTCAGGGCTATTAGATACTCCATCTTAGGATTTGGAGCGGATGAGGACACACTTACGAGGCGATCATCTCGGGGTCCGAGATCGGCATGAACAAGATCAAAGAGGAATACAAGGTCGGGTTCAAGACCACGGTCACCAGCGACATTGTTGATGACACCTCCGAGTATTACAAGGACTTCTGCTTTGACCTTGATAGGGAGTGAAGATTAAAATTAAAACAACCTGCTTTTGTTGGGAAAGATGTGTAGAATGTGTATCCGCAACCACCTAAAAAAAGAACTTTCATCAGAGAACATGTACAAAGACCGAAAATATTCGATGCATTCATGCATATGCATCCATTCTTTACAAGATTTTAAAAGGTCCATATCACGTTCGAGATAAACCAAACCATTCTCTCCTTTGTGTTTATTGGATAGTTACGAAAAGCTCACGTTCGAGATAAACCAAACCATTCTCTCCTTTGTGTTTATTGGATAGTTACGAAAAGCTCCTTTTTCGCTAAAAAGTCATTAATGAACGCTTTGAGGCCACACAAAAAATTCACAGAAAGTAAAGTGCAGCAATTTCATATTGGCGATGAGGAATGAACTCATCTAGGAAACTAGGATCCGGGATCAAAGTATTATTATGCACTTTGTTATTCTACTATACTCACAGCATCTTCTGCAGCAACACAAAGTACAACAATCGAAATGTTCTGAGCCTCATCCTCTCTTGTTAAGAATACATTTATCTCTCGTTTGGACGCAATACAAGGTTGGTCTCACAGCGCAAAGAAATCACAGGGAAAAAAAGACAAGTGAGCACCCCTTCTGCTTTGAGCACAAAAGTGATGATCATATGTCACCAAGCTTTTGCCCGTCTTGATTTCTTATTCACTTCAAGAGAGAAGATATCTTCATCTTCTCTGGATGACGAAGAAGCCGCATGACAATTATACCACCAAACAACAAGACCCACAACTCCAAAGGCGCTGTGATGATAGCCATGCCAATCATACCATCTGCATTTAACCATCAAATAAGCCGTTGACAAACCATAAACAGTGCATTGGAATGACTAGAGGTTTGCTCTATTGTTCTTTTCTAATATTTGAAACATGGATACATGGTAGATAACTTTATTAAGACATGATGTCTTGATCCCTACTGCTTTTCGGGGTCCATGGGCGTGGCCGGTGGTTGGGGAGGTGAGGTCTCAGATTTGGGGATATATGTGAAACTTATCTCTTGATCAATACAATTGATATTTACATTAGCTTTGGGTTCATCACGTATGATTGAGAAGATGCCATGGATAGGGCATTATTCAAGACACTCCATAAATTGAAAGGTAAGAGAGATTCGAGGTCAAGCGAGCTATTTCTAAGGAACCGTCTCCTAGACCTAGCATGTGCTCTCCTATCAATGGGTTCAATTATGTAATGGTAGAACCAATAGCTTCCTTAATGGATATACCCGACATTACAATATGAGTCCATTAGGTGGCTATGGAATGAGGATGGATGAATGTTTTGGTCTTCTATCGGTGGGAATAATGGTTATCCATCTTTTGGTGGTAGTTATGGAATTGGAATGAATTTTTTGGCATGGATGAACCCATGTCTTTGAAAGTGACTCTAGCTTCAATAGTGGTATCCGGCGTGGATGGCATCTTAATCCATATTACAATGGAAATTCAGGTGGATTCAACAACTATGTTAGCTATGGTGGAGTCAATGAAAATAATGGTTTCTTGTTTGACTCACTAGTTAGTAACCTTTTGGGGTATTTTTGCCCTTAATCACTCTTCTAGTTCCACAAGCTCTAATTTCTTTGTGCCATTTAGAAATGGGGACCTTCTTAGTGGAATTGGGAACAATAATGTGAATTGGGGAAACCCTCATCATGTGCCTGCTCTAGGTGCCAATAATTGCTCTGTTCTTGTACTAGAAACTTTGGTTATGGGTCCAATGAAAGCAACTTTGGTCAAGGTTCCAATGTTTATGGAAGGAATGTTCTTTGTTCTTGTAGACACAACTTGGAGATAGTTTTACCTCTATAAAGATGTCATGATTAACCAAATATTTTAAGCCCAGGACCATTCAGTATTCACTATATATATCTACTATCCAAGTACGGCCTCGATGGGCTACCTTAAGTCAGTCACACCGCCTCCAACTACGTCATTGGCAATGACCACTCGAGTATGCCTTTGACATGCTATCTCGATCCAGCCATGCCATCATCGACCTTGTCATCGACCTCGACCACTTGAGTACACCTTTAAAAGGCTATCTTGAGCCAGTCACACTATCATCGACCATGTCATCGACTATGACCACTTGAGCACGCCACCGTCAGGCTCCCTCGATGGTAACATTGTTTTCAACTATGTCATCTACTATGGCTGCTCAGACACGCCACTCGTGGACTCCTCGACTGATCACATCACCATGGCAACTAGTCATGGTAGCCCTTCTAAACTCAAATCGGTTTGTTTGAGAGAGGATACAACCGACCCAGATCCTGTATGGCGTATGCAAGCGGCAAGCCACTTAACTCGAGCACCATAGACAAGCGAGAGATCACGGTATCCTTCATTACTGTTCTTGCATCCCAAACCGAAAGCGAGATAGATGCAATGCAATAATCACAAATATGAATGCAACGACCAACAAACACGAACCTTTATAGCGCATATCTGTCGCACTAAATTTCAAAACCATTTTATTATCAACCAAAACCATCTCTTCCGTATCAATATCTTCCCTTCATCTTACATGCTAATATTCCATACAGACAACTTCCTAGCTGTGCTCCTTTGAAATTTAATTTACTCCCGGGCATATGATCACCTCACCAAACAAATGTGAGATTGAGGGTGAGTTGGGATTGGATCTACCCATCTAGTAGTATACAACATCGGGATATACACTACTACTCAAAGTCGGCATATCACCATGGTACCCACCGATTCTGAGTACAAAATTGAGTTGTTCTTGAGGCTTCATACGGATACCAAGCAGAACCCATCCCATCTGAGGATGCATGATCTGGTTTCCACAATAGCTACACTTGAGGTCTTCTCATCGTACAAGCACATCTTGGGACTGTTGCTTCCATACATCACAAGGTTCCACCTCAACCTGCACAAGGCCACACATGTTATTAGATGCTTGACTTTTGCATGATTGTAATTCTAGTAACAACAAATCCACTCAATGAGATATAAGACAAGCTGTGCTATCCTCTTTAGGGATTTTTTAAACACCATGCATAAGCAAGTCATGATTTTTGTGTTTTGAAGCATAGGAAAATCTTGAAAGTACAAAAAACAGCATTGCATTTAGATTTGGCTAGAACCACAACTTTTACGAGGCAAATTATGTAGTGTTCTCAAGTAGCAAATCGGGCAAGACGCCTATACGACTTGGTCG